TCAATTATGTCAAAAAAACGTCATATTCGTAAATCTTACATATTTTTCCATAACTTATAACTATAGCCAGTATCCCTTCTGAATTTTCACAAAAATCGAACCACCCTAATGGGGGTGCTCCAGTTTTTCAAAAGTTCATCGGATCAAAAAATAATGTACTACAAAGTTGTTCAGAATGACGAGAGAAATTTTTTAAGACCCCTGTCCTCCAAGTCTCCCACCCCTTAAGAGGGTCGGGGGGTCAAGAACCCCCAAGATGTGATTTATTTAACCTGAAACCGCAAAATTTGGAATCAGCATGAAAAATTACCTTAGAATCGATATTTTTCTCATCCACGTTTTTTCACAAATTTTGGACCAAAAAAGTGTAAAATCGACTTTGTAAGATTTGAAGGTCGATTTTACACTTTTTTGGTCCGGAATTCTTTTGCTCCGATTTGACAACTGATAATTATATTCAAACCCGAGAAATTCAACGGTGTCAACAGTTGTTAAGAAATTGATTAGATTTTTCTATTGTTTTCGGTTGGAAATCTATCTCTTGGAATGATAGTTTGGAATAAATGTCATTCTATTGGCATGCAAATTAAAATTTCTTCCAATTTGTAAAGGGTTAATTTCAAGTTCTGCGGTTGTCAGCGGTACTAATCTCTAATAAAGCGTTGCCGAGCTGTCATTATTTTCATGCTCTGGTAATGTCAAACTTTTCAAAAATTGTGAGGGATAAACATTACATATGTTACTTAAAGATTGAGACTAATTCAAGCGACCACCATTTAAACACAAAAGAAGCATTTTAAAAATTTCTCTTAGTGGTAGTTAGCTTTATTCATGGGCAACCCGAAAACACATTTACAGTACACTGAACGGACCATTGTCTTCGATTTTTCTCAGTATGCGTCGATCCATCAAAATTATGCTTTGGCGGACCGATTGGTCGATTTCTTTCAACTTTCTCTCAATTCATCCAACCAATTGTTGGTCGTTTCAAGTATCTTGGACCTTCGCCTATAACACACATCCAAAAACGGAAGATAAATAATTAATTTGGTGTCTTTTTGTGAAGTTGAGAAGATGGTCCTGTTTTCATGGAAATGCTATTTTTTAAGAAGTGAGCCATTATTGTAGTTTTTTCTGCTTGCAAAACACAATTTCGTCTTAAATCAGATAGTCCACATCGAATTCTATCGATTTTAATAATAATTGATTGGTAATGGAGTAAGTAATGGAGGTTTAACCTTACGTTACAGCACTAAATTTTCGAATAATGGCTCTAAAACACCTTCCAATGAAGATCCTACAATACAAATATCACTTTATCAAAGTTTGGTTTGTCGACGTCTCTAGCCCTATATAGTAGTGCCCTAACGTTATCAATGCAAAAGAAACCACATGCACTTGATTTATGGTTCGATATAGCGATGAATGTTTCACTGTCCAAAATGATGAATTTTTCAGTGCAACATGCTATGAGGTGAAGTAAACAGCCAATATTTGCCACTATTTGGAATATTTTCGTTACTTATTTTGATGATTATTATAGATCGTGTCTAAAACTATTGTTTTGGTTCAAATTTGGATGTGCTATAACCATAAGAATCACCAAAAATGAATGTTTGTTTGACCAACCCGGTTTTCGGTACTTGATGACAATTTCGAAAGGTTTGATCATTTGATTTGGGAATACGACCGAACTTTATGCTTTTTCTAGAATCTTTGTCTTCATATCAGCCGGCTAAGCCTATGAAGAGACAAAATGCGAATTCCCCTCATCTGTGCCATCTTGTATTCCATAGTTGAACTCAATTTAGTTACAATGAATTGAATCGAAAAAAAGAAAAAAAAAAACAACAACAGTAACATGGCTACATAGATCTGTTGACCAGTGAGATACGTATAACAATGGAATGAAAGAATGAAGAAAGCGTATATGTGAATGTAGATGTACAGCTCTGTGTGGCCGTGCTATTGTTGTTGTTTTTTCTCTTTTTAATTTCAATGCTACAGAATTAAATTCAGTTTTTCGATCTAATTCGAACTAATGTGAGGTGGCGCTGATCAGCTGCGTTCGCATAAAAAAGTTCCCAATCTCATATACGCCAACCCCGCTTGCTTCATATTAAAGCCATGAAACACGATATATGGTTCAAAGACAGATTGGTTCATCTTTAGACACATGCAGAATTTGTTTTGAGCTTAGCTTGCCAAAACCATTTGAGACACTTTTTCGTAAAACCAATTTGTACGTCATCGCGAATGGAACTTTTCTGTGTAAATTGTGTTTGACAGTGGGGTAGGAGGCCCATTAGGTCTCCTATGTGCATTCGTTGACATTTTTGATTTTGTTTATGTGGCGCAATAAACGCCTGAATTTAGTCTCAATCTTTAAGTAACATATGTTAGCTTCCAATGTAAAAAATAAGGAGTTTTTTTATTCCTACAAAATGTATGAACGAGGAGAGAAATGTATACGACGATCGCTTTATTCCTAACAAATGTAATACACAGCGCACACATGAAACGTCATTGCACTGCTGTTAGAATCTACACAAGTGTGTATTACTGCGGATTAATATAGATTACTACTCACAACATAGAATTACTTTAAACAAAAATTATTATTCTAGTACTGCTCTGCCCCTAGGTTTAAATGCTTTTTTTTGTTTTGCTCAATTTCATCTTGCGATGTCTGAACATCAAACAGTATCGCATTTCAATTACTTTGTTTGACTGTTGCCAAAAATTCATGAAAAGTTTTTAGACTTATATAAATAGGGCGGCGCCTACATTTTTTTCATAAAAAAATATTATTTCAAAATTTGTATCAGGGAGAGTAAATTTTAAAGGGTTGTGAAAAATTTAGGGGGTAATTTGGTCTCAAAGTTCATTCTATCTACTACTATCTAGTTTAAAAGTAAGGTTTTTGGATTTACGTCGAAAATCCATAGCAAATCGAACAATTTTTACAAAAGGCTCAGTGGGCACAAATGACAATAATACATCAGGTTTTTTGGTGTAAGCTATGCAATTTTTTGGTTCCCTTTCTGGTGTATCCTATACAACACTTTTTGGTGTAATGCTTACACTCGGTCGGTGTTTTTCATACACCACCGGTTTTTTTGTATACACTATTTCGGTACATTAGAAACGCTATTAGTGCATGACTTGAACCAATTTCTAGATTATGTTTTGCAGTGATGGTGTAAATTATACACTATTATTTTTATATTTTGGTGTTTTGATTACACGATATGTGATGACATTAAACAAAGTTCTTCTTGCAAATATTTTACAACAAATATGATCATAACATAAAAACGGTGAATTGCAAGCAAATGAGATCATAAGATTTAAAACGAAATACACTTGGACTTGTAAAGTACCCCCATTAAAATTCATGCGCCTCGAAAATTCGTGATTTTGAAGAAAATTTTTTTTTAGCAAAATAAATATTTTTTATCCTTATGTTATATCTTCAAAATAATATGTTTCATGACTTTGTTGAGCAAAAAAACTTGGAATTAGATAGTTTCCATACTGTTTTAAAAATATATTTCAATAGAAAAAATTTAATTGTAAAATGAATTCAGTAATTTCAATGCTGCAAAAATGGCTACAAGAAGAAGAATATCATAAAAATATATGCATATGATGTACCAATTTGGTGAATGCAATGCACTGTTATTATATTGGTGTTAATAATGTACCACTAGTGGTGTATACGTTACACTGCTGGGAATTGGTAATTTGGATACACCATGAATCGAGAAAGTAGTACGAGTTTAGGGTTTATGTTATACACCACGTCTGGTGAAATGTATACACCAAAATTCAGCGGTGTACCTCATACACTAGATTGATACACCAAAAATTCGAAAAAAATAAAGAGTCTTACGGGAGTAAGACGAACTTTTCCGCACGGTGGTAGTTGCGTATTTTATTAAGAAAGTTCGAAATAATATTTGTTCGATTTTTCAAGCGTCGTAAAGTTCGAAACCAAAAAATATGTCTCAACTTTGGCAACGAAATATTCTTTAATTTAATAGCAGAAGAACCCGAGAAATGATTTTTCACACTTTCATGATGAACCCATATGTACGACATTTGAAAGTATTCTATTTTCTAACAAAATACTATAAGAAATATGTCTGACGTTAATTTTGCCATAAAAATTATTTTTGAAACACTTTCCATAACTAAAGTTACAAAAAATTTGGATCTTTGTATGGGAGCCATGTCTGTATGCTACCTTAATGGCGTGAAACTTTGCACAGGTTATTTTTTTCACAAAAAAATAATATTCGGAGGGTTTGGAGGAATTTCAACCAAAATTAAAGGTACCTCCCATACAAAATATTGAAATCTCTTTAAACTTTATGGAATTTATAAGTTCTCATCGGGACCCATGATTTGATTATTGGCTGACTTTGATCATGGTTTTTGGCTTGTAGTTCATGCGCCATATATTCGAATGAAAATATTTTTTTTTTAAATACAATGCAAAATTAACGATGCAAAAATGCAGTGATGTATAAAAAAAATTTAATAAATAAATAACATTTTTACATTATTGGCTCATCTATGTATAACACATATTCTGTTGAATGTCACTAAATATGAATTATTTTCAATATTTGTTGATTAATTGTTAACAATTTTCCTTCTTTTCTTCAATGATTCTCCCCTAGGTAGCGGTTTGATGAGATATGTTCAATTCAAACGGAACAATAAATTAGTAACTTTAATAATCATCTTCTAAAAAACAAGCTGTGCCGACTTTAAATTTGTATGTATTGCAATTAGGCAATAGCTATAACTTACTTGCAAAGTGTATGCAATTCTGGCTCTCTAAACAATGAATAACAATCCTCACATATTCTATCTAATCGATAAAATATAGATTTGTTGAAGACTCCCTTACATTCGATTTCAAAAAATGTACTCCGTTTTGCTAAAGTATGTTGTGGTAATGAATTGATCAATGGAACCAATGCTAGAATTAGCCCCATTGATATTGCCAAGTTTCGGGAACACATCTAAAATAGATAAAATAGTGATAGAATTAATTCCAAAGGTGCAAGTTTATGGTTTTCAAAAACTATAGAATATGTTTTTTTACTAGTACACCCATTAGATCCTTTATTTTATCTCAATATCAATTCGAATAATTATATATCGAAGTTTGTTCGATAAACAAGAAATTTCATCTCAATCTCCGGAAAAAAAGAAACGTCTACCTACTGTACGGTTTTTTAGGTTTCTAAATAATATTTTACACGAAATTTCATAATACATTCGTTGTAAAAATAGTTTTTCCACGGTTTTTGATACATTGTGTAAATGTTGAATACGGTATGCAATTTAAACCAAACAGCATCAAAAACTAGTTAGTAAAAAGCACTTTCATAGAAAATATTATTGAAGATTTAACTTTCGAAAAAGTACGAAATGAAATCAGTTGTGTACTACAGTAGGTAGGTCATTTTACAGTAGGTTATCATTTTTGAACGCTTTGTTGTTCAAAAATATTTTAAATAATGAATGAAGAAAAAAGATAATAGAATGTACGATATTGATGATATCAAATGGCTTGTTAGTCACTTCACAGCACACATACATATTATGTAATCGAAATGTAATCAGTGCACGAAAATTCCGTTGCAACGATGTTACCTTTGGTTTATTCTCCGCATTCAGGCTGTAGTTTGGTCGTTATCGGAAAAATGCGTTAAGTATGAAAATGTATGAGATTGTTGCGATGACTTTTATATATTCGACTTTGATTTATGTTCAACATGGAAATACTTTTCAGGTATTGCCTGTTTTTGTAATCACAAAAGCGATGATTTTTTGAGATGCCACTGTTCACTTTAATTCACATTTTCTTTTGTTTGTAACTTTTTATCTACTAAATTTTCCAATATAATTTTTGTAATGGTCACCAAGGTTTTTATCAATTGTCACTAGAAAAGTAATATCATGAATGTATTAATACAAAATCGGGATTTGCATTGTGTAGAAGATGAGACGATTCCAATTTGTTTATTTTGTTAAAATTAAGTACTTATATTCAGGTAACGGTTTAAAGCACATTTGAGTTTTTAAGTACATAGAGTTAGTAAATTAAGAGAAAGATCAAATCAGAGCCTACCAAGTCTGAAGAATGTTATTATTTCTGAACTATATTTTTCTGTATCAACTATATTGAAGTAATACTTTTTACACTATTTCACTGTGAATTGCCTTTGTGTTTACTCTTAGATCATAATATAATGATTTGCACCTAAATATGAACAAGGGATTACTGTTTACGGTCAGTTTTAAGTATCTATGTGACTCGTTTGATGCATATTTAAGGACTAAAAGAAAAAAAAATATAAGAGATTCATATCATATCCCCACCACCGGGTGATATGATCGACTTCTTTGGCATTTATGGCAACTACAGAAAGTTAAAGAGAAGCGCGCGCGGCAGCACACAGTGCAGAACATAGTGTATGCATAAAGCAGAAACGACGACATACAGACATTCTGTCTATTACGCATGCATGCATTAAATGAGACATATTATATTTCTGAGTAATCAATTTATCTTTAATGTAGCCATTTACGAATATACTTGGTAGAATATTGTCAGTTGAATATTTTTTTAACCAATATTAAATTACTTTTGAAGGCTTAGATATATAATTGTTTGAAAATATATATATATGCTTTTAATTGTTATATTATTAAATTCGGTTTGAAATTAGTTTTCGGAATCGACTGGTCTAGCAATTTAAAATGTATTTTAGACTAAAAATAAAAATGAATACTTCGTGCTCTGAATACATATTGTATTGCAATACTGTTGCACTCATAAGCACTATATAATATATATATACCGCATTTTCATTTATTCAGTGTATTCACTATCTTAAACAAACACAAATTTATTGAACCGATCGTTTTGGTGTGTTCGCATAATTCTTGCATTGCAATTACTAATTAAGACATTACGAATTCATATTTTCTTCGCTCGAACTTAAGTGATACTTGAATTATCATATGTAGTAAAATGAACAAATTTTATCCATTAATTTTACTTGAATTTCAGTTTCAAATAATTCGATATTATTGTTGCTATCGTTTGAACATAGAATATTTATTGTTTTCTCAGGAATGTTCGTTTCTGTTCCACTTCATTTTGACACAATGAAAATGAACTTAATAAAATTATTGACTGAACATTTCGCTTTAATTTTATATCCGTCGAATAAAAATTTATATATGTCGAAATAACATTTAACGAAAAAAATATAATCAGAAATGAATTTCACTTAACTTAAAAATATATATCTAAATGATGCACTTTCTGGGGACTATTAAGGCAACCACCTCTGGACTCTTAAGCTTAGGGAGTCCCGTTCAGTGATCATATGTTGAGTATACTTGTTTCAAATAAGCATATTTGTCCATGGGAATAAAAGTGGGAACAGAAACGTTAAATTGTTGATAGTATGTAGTAAGCGTATAGTTTACCGTAAGCTACCTTATAAATTTGGCAAAGTGAGACTGGTGTCCACTAATTGAGTCCAAAGTAAATTAAACACGATGAGTGTGAGCGATGGTAGATTTTACTTAATCAATGGTATTATCAAAAAATCTAGCAAATTTATGTAACTTCAGTTACACTAATTGAGTGCCTCTACTCTAATGAATTCTTTCCTGCAGAAACATTTGTGGTTGATGTTTTCATTTCTTATTATGATCACTTTGCATTATGTTACACAAAATCAAATTTATATATAGTTTATCAAAAGTCAATAAATATATCGTTCGCATTACGGTTGTGTTCAGTTTTCGTTTTCGTATTGCCGGTTTATAATTTTTCACAGTGAAAACCACATCACTCTTAATTTTTGTTTTTAGTCGATGTTTTGCGATTGATTTTTTAGTTTTGTTGAAGCGATACATTTTCCTTGTTATAATATTACGATATTTTCTATTCAGTGATTGTCTCAAACAAAATATTATTTTGAGTTTCAGACTTTATGAATGCGTTGATTTTTTCATTCAGAATTGGTGCAGCCGGAGAAATACACATTCGATGAAAATATTTCAATTTTGGCAATTTAAGCATCAAGCTATGCATCGCGTATTTAAGTTTTCTGTGTTTGTTGATACAATCGAATGAACTCATTTTTTCGATTCTGCACATTTTCAAGTGTGACTTTAATAATCAAACGGAAGCATTTACGCAGAATTTTGCGGTTATTTCTGATTTTGAAATAACAGAACATTCGCAAACTAATGCAATAATACATCAATATTTCATTAGCATGCAGAAGCAGACGGCATTGATCGATGGCTGGTAAATCTACAAAAAAGTACTTCTGGGATGCGATTTTCGATATGCCAAAAATGCATTGCATTTTGAAGAACAAACCGTTACATTTGGTTTGGTGTATCGGCATCGATTTTGTATAAATAAAGTGACGAACTCGATCAATTGGTGTCCGATTAAATCATCAAAAAGAAGTATTTGAATGGCGAATTATTTCATGAACTTGGAATGGATCCAGGCATGCGCACTTGGAATGCGAGAGTCAGACGAAATATCCGTACTGGCAAAGATGTAAATGTGAAATTTTGGAACATGTTCGATGTCCAGGCACTCGTAAGCTAATGAAAAGCTTCATGAAGCTATGGTATGTGTGAAAAGAGAACATCTGCGCGCGTATCCAAAAAAATTGCGAAATCATCGGATCAGAGTGTGCGAGTGGTACCTACCACTGATAATTGTGACAACAAAGATTAAGCGAATGATCCGAACAGAACGCGATGATTGGGTGGAGGAATCGTGATGATCTAGATCTAGATCAACACGAGCAGTAGCTTACCATGTGTGTCTAAGGTAATTTCGTACCATAAAAACTTGCAACAATTCGACGTAGCATACGATTATGATGAAGATAAATGCAAATATGAACATCTATATCAACCCATTCTGAAGATTCTTCAGTGAAGAATGTCTGGCATCGAGACATTGAAATAAGCCAAAAAATTTCGACATAGAAGCCGGCGGAGGAACACAAGCAAATTCGCCGATTAAGATAAAGGAATATGTACGTTGTCCAGGCACTCGCAAACTGATTGCAGCAAGACATGTGTTGGTACCAAATCCAATTATTGCTAGAAATGGGCGATGCCATAGTTGCGGTTTTTGAAGATCGACCAAATACGCGTAGTATGGTGTCAATGACCGTAAACTTGTGCCTGATACTCTGTAAAACTGAAGGGATTAGAAATTAAATAAAAAATCCAAAAGGATTCAATTCTAATCCTGAATATATGGAAAAAATCCCCAAGTAGAATATTAAAACAATACTTAACATAAATTGTTTGAATTCATTTTGTTAGTTGTCATCGATTTCACGGAGCAAAACATATACACAAGTACAGTGGAAAAGAGAACTGTCAGTTGTAGCTGAAACAATAAATAAACACAAGCATCACAGCAGAGTAAAATATGCTGACCAAATATTGAAAACCCCAATACATGCGCGCAATCACCCGCTTCGTCGCTGTGATGTACACCTTAAGCGTACATGTGATGATTGCGCATGTATTGTTTCTTTCACGCAACCGCTACTATGCTTTTATTGCACCGTGAAATCGATGATAACCAATAAATCGAATTCAAACAAATAATTTGTTACAAATTATTTTAAGTATTGTTTCAATTTTCTAATTGGGGATTTTTTCTATATATTCGGGATTAGAATTTAATCCTTTTGGATTTTTTATTAAAAAAATCCAAAAAGATTTATTTCTAATCCCTTAAGTTTTACAGTGTAACGATGATTTTACGTTAAAATTTGTTTCTTGGGATGGCATTGAAACATATTCGACCAAACAGTATGCACGCTTAAGACTCGACAAACACATTGAATCGGTACGTGCAATGGACAAAACGACTTGCAAAATGGTACGAAATGAACCATCCATTTTCATTGGAGCTGGCGGATCAACACCAGCTAATTCGCCGATTAGAATCAAGAAATATGTACGCTGTCCAGGCACGCGCAAACTCATTGCATCGATCATGAAACGTGGCAATTGCATCATTCGAATGGTCGATGAATATATGACATCACAGCATTGTCCATTGTGTTTCAAGCGATTTCCACTAGCAACCCGAGGCGATCGATACAAGAAATATGTGGGTTGTGCACCAAATCCAATTGTTGAATTACCATGAACCATCATAACCAATGTGAGCAAACGATTACTGCAAATGCGACGAACAATTGAACGAATGTGGCGCGAGATGCGAGAAATGGAAGATGGAATTGCTGCAACTCTTCGAGATGGACCGAATGCAGGTCGTTTTGTGTCAAAGGATCAACGCTTCTTCAAAACATGGCTACCAAATGTTGCAAACGTTGAAATCGAGGGAGCTGCTGGAGCACAACCATCGCTCACAACTGTATGATCCTGTACAAAGGTATGCAATCTGATGAAATTGATACAAATTGTAAACGAATTGATAATAATGTGTTTTCGTTATTTCATTTGGTACTTGAATGTGTGGTGTTCAAGCGGACAATTCATCCAAATGTCCGCAGACCACCCCACGTTGTCAACAATCAACCTTTAACAGGCCGGCTGAAAAGTCCGTAGGCAAACACATAGAGGGTGACAGTAGAACAAAATTCTTCCTATTTTTGAAAGTACCATCCTTCAAAGGACTGCAGACGGAATTTGAGCCAAATCCGTTTACTGAGTCAGAAATTATAGCACTTGAAACGAACCAACCTCCAGTTATTCTATTTCAATGAGAAAAAACCAAATTCCACTTGCAAATCAAATCAGTTTTAGTGTGATAAATCCATCAGAGAACCCAAAACTGAGCACTTGGCGGTATTGTTTGGACCCTCTACTACCATTTTGAAGCTATACAGAAATTATCTATTGAATGGTATGTGGTCGTACATTCAGAGGAAACGAACACCTCAAATTACCTCGAAAATATGAGTTTTCGAAGAGATGCTTGAAAAAATCTGAGTAATTGCTATAAATGTTGGCTGTTTTAAGCGGATACTAAGGAATGGATCTCAAACATCTTGTAGAATACTTATTTCAATATACTACTCCAATATTTCAATAAAAAAAATTCACTCAACGAAACAGTGCCGCGTTTTCTCAAAATGACAACAAATGGAATCGAGTGGCAACTTTAAAGCGATCTAAAGAGGGTTTTTGGCATTTTTCAAGTGAATAATTTTATTGAATGATAACTATTTATGTCTTACAAAACCCATGCAATGCATTTTGACGAAATTCAAAGTCCAATTGGTTACCAAAAATCAAAGCACGAC